TATATTTCCTTATCTTCTGAAGAATTTCCCAAAATAAAGTTCTATTTGCATTAATCTTGCACAGAAAAAAAAAAGTTTACCTGGAAATTTCCCCGTCAACGCCCGCGGGGTCTACCAGGATTTCCCTGTGGATAAAGGTGATAAATTTACTGCGGCTCAAACTGGGAAAGCCTTGATAACTGATTATGTGTTGTCAATCAACATAAGTATGCCAAGGGTTTTTAATTTGTGTCTGGGAGTTAATCATTGTGACACTATTGTATTTAAACGCATGACAACCCTGATTTTCATAACCCGGGGATGGTGCTGTCGCCAATTTTGCCTTCGAAACCTGGGTGATTTTACGTGTCAATCGGATACTATCCTTTCAAAAGATTTTCCTGTATATAACAGATCTTCGCTCCTCTTCAAACTTTGGCCTGCAATACTTGAGGTGTATACAGTGTGATAACTGTGACCACTATATGACCTACTGAAGCTCGGCACTCACCGTAAATATTCTTCTAAACAAAAGTTTGTTCACTAACTGGTTTCTTGGGCTTCATACAGGTGGCAATACGCTCTCTCATCCCTTTTTGGCATTTTGAAATTAGTATAAGGTGCTTCTAAAATTAGAAGGGCTTTTCTAAAATCGGAAAAGGCTGTCTCTTAAATTAGTGTTGACAAGAAAGTGAAGAGGTTACTGCTGGAGTCACAAAATCGTAATAACATAATTGAAAACAAAGCACGGGACGTGTGGAGTTTACAACTCACAATAAGTTCAATCCTCACCCGTTCCTTTTTTTTTTTTTTCTAACGACTAGATGTTCGTAGTTAAGGAGTTATTTCTGTTATTAGGATTACCGGAACTGGGGATCTTTTTGAGGTTAATTTTTTTCATTTAGTTTACCATTCCTCAGTTTTTATTTTATTTAGAACTCGAGGACGCCTCGTCTAACCGGCTTCAAATTTCTAATGCTTGTGTAGGGTAACGAGGACCAGATTCTTGGGACAGTTGGTATGTTCACGAGCCCTACCAACAGAGTTGTTGAACCCATCCCCAGCATCCTGGAATAGTTTAGATAACTTCCAATACACTCAGTGACGGAGCTTCATGCATCCGGAAGAGCTAATAAGACACATGTGCAACAGTTAAGTATATTTATTCCGAAACGTTTTGCCTACACAGTAGGCTTCTTCAGTCGAGTACAGAAGAGTGAGCAGAAGCAGTAAAGATATGAAGACGATATCATCAGTCCATCACCCTGGAAGACGTAGTATTGAGGTGGTCAGTCCCTCAGTCTGGAGAAGAGATTAGATCCATAGTCTGGAACAAGTATTCCAGACTATGTTCCAGACTATGAGGTGGTCAGTCCCTCAGTCTGGAGAAGAGATTAGTTCCATAGTCTGGAACAAGTGTTCCAGACTATGGAACAAAACGTGTGATAGGTGAAGACAGTCTCTTCTGATGAGTTCCACAATATCAACATTGGTGTTTCCTGTGCAAGACAGGTATACATAATGTCCAAGAATCTGTATTGATAAAGCCACTGGATGGCGAAACGTCAACAATAAAGATAACCAGATGCTGCATAAGTGTCTTAACTTCCATCATTGGTGTTTCCTGCCCAGAAGAAGGTTGGTATATTTAATGGAGTGTGTAGATGTCAGGTTGCCACTTTTAATCTCGAAATGGTATAGTATTATTTTTACATTATTTCCTTGATGCTGATGAAGGGCTCTTGATCCCAGGAACTGGACTTATCATCCCCTTACTTGGACTGAATCTGAATGCCTCCCAGGTCACAGGCGTTACATGACCCCTGCGGGTTTAACGCGGTCCTCTTATTAACATATAACTATTGTGGTCGTCATCAATCTTCAATGGTTGATACACAGTATGAAATGGATGAAAATTTTGATGGGTTTAGGCTGTGTAGGGATAAATTTTGTTGGATTCTTCGTAATAATTGGAAAAATGTTCTTCTGGTATTGTTGTGTTTACCTCAAGTGGAACAATTTCTTGATGTTAGGTCGTGTAAGTTATTATGTGACAATATAACTGGAGAATGTTTCTTCTGGTCAGAAATTAGTCACAGTGATTGATTTTATTTGGTTATCCTAGTCTAAATCAATATATTTTTATGTGCCGGTAAAATCCGTGTGCTCTCAAAACCTCGGGTAAAAATTTGAATGTAATGTACACTAAACTTACATAAAACTTACTAAATATACTTTATTAAAACGTAGACAGTCTTGCGCAGGGAAAACTTTAGATTGATTTTGACCTGTGTAGGTCAAAATTTATTTTTTTTTGGAAGAAATTGGGAAAATTGAAATGCTGCTTTCATGGGATAATTTCTGATTGTCACTTATGCGGCTTCAAGCCTACTGTAATATGCGGCTTCAAGCCTACTGTAATATGCGGCTTCAAGCCTACTGTAATATGCGGCTTCAAGCCTACTGTAATGTGCGGCTTCAAGCCTACTTAATGTGCGGCTTCAAGCCTACTGTAATATGCGGCTTCAAGCCTACTGTAATGTGCGGCTTCAACCCTTTCTGTAATATGCGGCTTCAAGCCTACTGTAAGTGCGGCTTCAAGCCTACTGTAATGTGCGGCTTCAGCCTACTGAATGTGCGGCTTCAAGCCTACTGTAATGTGCGGCTTCAAGCCTACTGTAATGTGCGGCTTCAGCCTACTGTAATGTGCGGCTTCAAGCCTACTGTAATAGGGCGGCTTCAGCCTACTGTAATGTGCGGCTTTCAATGCCTACTGTAATATGCGGCTTCAACCTACTGTAATGTGCGGCTTCAAGGCTACTGATATGTGCGGCTTCAAGCCTACTGTAATGTGCGGCTTCAAGCTACTGTATGTGCGCTTCAAGCCTACTGTAATGTGCGGCTTCAAGCCTACTGTAATGTGCGGCTTCAAGCCTACTGTAATTGTGCGGCTTCAAGCCTACTGTTAAGGTGCGGCTTCAAGCCTTCTGTAATGTGCGGCTTTCAAGCCTACTGTAATGTGCGGCTTCAAGCCTACTGTAATGTGCGGCTTCAAGCCTACTGTAATGTGCGGCTTCAAGCCTACTGTAATGTGCGGCTTCAAGCCTACTGTAATGTGCGGCTTCAAGCCTACTGTAATGTGCGACTTCAAGCCTACTGTACTGTGCGGCTTCAAGCCTACTGTAATGTGCGGCTTCAAGCCTACTGTAATATGCGGCTTCAAGCCTACTGTAATATGCGGCTTCAAGCCTACTGTAATGTGCGGCTTCAAGCCTACTGTAATGTGCGGCTTCAAGCCTACTGTAATGTGCGGCTTCAAGCCTACTGCAATATGCGGCTTCAAGCCTACTGTAATATGCGGCTTCAAGCCTACTGCAATATGCGGCTTCAAGCCTACTGTAATATTCGGCTTCAAGCCTACTGTAATATGCGGCTTCAAGCCTACTGTAATATGCGGCTTCAAGCCTACTGTAATATGTGGCTTCAAGCCTACTGTAATATGCGGCTTCAAGCCCACTGTAATATGCGGCTTCAAGCCTAATATGCGGCTTCAAGCCTACTGTAATATGCGGCTTCAAGCATACTGTAATATGCAGCTTCAAGCCTACTGTAACATGCGGCTTCAAGCCTACTGTAATATGCGGCTTCAAGCCTACTGCAATATGCGGCTTCAAACCTACTGTAATATGCGGCTTCAAGCCTACTGTAATATGCGGCTTCAAGCCTACTTAATGTGCGGCTTCAAGCCTACTGTAATATGCGGCTTCAAACCTACTGTAATGTGCGGCTTCAAGCCTACTATGATGTGCGGCTTCAAGCCTACTATAATATGCGGCTTCAAGCCTACTGTAATGTGCGACTTCAAGCCTAATATAATGTGCGGCTTAAAGCCTACTGTAATGTGCGACTTCAAGCCTACTGTAATGTGCGGCTTCAAGCCTACTGTAATGTGCGGCTTCAAGCCTACTATAATGTGCGGCTTCAAGCCTACTATAATGTGCGACTTCAAGCCTACTATAATATGCGGCTTCAAGCCTACTGCAATATGCGGCTTCAAGCCTACTGTAATATGCGGCTTCAAGCCTACTGCAATATGCGGCTTCAAGCCTTCTGTAATATGCGGCTTCAAGCCTACTGTAATTATGCGGCTTCAAGCCTACTGTAATATGCGGCTTCAAGCCTACTGTAATGTGCGGCTTCAAGCCTACTGTAATGTGCGGCTTCAAGCCTACTGTAATGTGCGGCTTCAAGCCTACTGTAATGTGCGGCTTCAAGCCTACTGTAATGTGCGGCTTCAAGCCTACTGTAATGTGCGGCTTCAAGCCTACTGTAATGTGCGGCTTCAAGCCTACTGTAATGTGCGGCTTTAAGCCTACTGTAATGTGCGGCTTCAAGCCTACTGTAATTGTAATGTGCGGCTTCAAGCCTACTGTAATATGCGGCTTCAAGCCTACTGTAATGTGCGGCTTCAAGCCTACTTAATGTGCGGCTTCAAGCCTACTGTAATATGCGGCTTCAAGCCTACTGTAATGTGCGGCTTCAAGCCTACTGTAATATGCGGCTTCAAGTCTACTGTAATATGCGGCTTCAAGCCTACTGTAATGTTCGGCTTCAAGCCTACTGTAATGTGCGGCTTCAAGCCTAGTATAATGTGCGGCTTCAAGCCTACTATGATGTCCTTGTATATTTTAGGATACTGGTCTCTTTGAAAGGTTTCTGTTGCATTTGTGTTGTATCCTAATTTACCATTTTTATTGAAGAAAATTGTATATTTGTTTTGATACAGTGACTGGTGACTGACTGACTCTTCTGAGTCCCTTCACATCCTGAACCCTATCATTTAACTACATTATCAACTGATGCCACACTCTGCACTATTCCAGTCGCGTGCATTATAACTCAGGTGACTGGAGTTATGGAATACATGAGATGTCTTTCAGGGATCGCTCAGCGACCAGACATACATTAGTTCCTGGTAATGTCTCGAGGAATTCACTCAATATTCTTTATTTTCTTTACAGATGAGCAGGAGAGAGTGCAGAAGAAAACCTTCATGAACTGGATAAACGCTCATTTAGCTCGGGTGAGTACCTGATTACTGTGAGAGTCCGTATGTCCTCGCTCTCAGGGTGAGATCCTGCCATATATTATTATACCAGCGTCTTACTCTTACTTCAGCAGTACCACCATTATCTTATAAGAAGGAAGAGCACCACACTTTCTCAAACTTATTTATAGAACACTCAGTGTAGCCTATTTATAAGCCACACAGATCTAGTCTGCTGTATATGTATAATTATTTCAAAGTTATTCAATTATCAATCCCGTTCAGTCATAATTATTCTAGATACATTCAATTATCAGTCCCGTTCGGCCATAATTACTCTAGATACATTCAATTATCAGTCCCGTTCAGTCATAATTACTCTAGATACATTCAATTATCAGTCCCGTTCAGTCATAATTACTCTAGATACATTCAATTATCAGTCCCGTTCGGTCATAACTCTCAGGTATCTCTCACTTCCTCATGTGTTCACATCATGTGTTCACATCATGTGTTCACATCACTGCTTTTGCATCATGTGGCGTGTCACATAATGCAAATGTTATATTTTTCTTCTTTGTTAATCGCGCTCGCGCGCGCCTGTGTTGCAGCACGTTCCACCACTGAAGCTGAATGAGCTGATTGAGGACCTGAAGGATGGCACTGCGCTGCTGGCCCTGCTGGAGGTGCTGTCGGGGGAGAAACTGCCCATTGAGAAGGGTCGTGTCCTCCGTCGACCTCACTTCCTCAGCAATGCCAACACTGCCTTACAGTTCCTGCAGAGTAAAAGGGTAAGTCACACATTGTCAGTAAATACTTCCAACTTTAACCTGTCTTCTGTTTTGTGAGTTAACTCATCACTTTCCTTGTAAAGAATTCCTCATTTTGATTAGTCTGGTTTTTCCCTCATGTCAGTTTTGTTGACCTTATTTGGAGGTACAGTATATGTGAAGAGGTCATTGAAGACGTCTTGTATCGTGGTCTCCACCTCATTCACAAAAACTGAAATTTGGCACAGATGTAGTGAGGGTGAAACCTACAACTCTTACATACAGAAGACGTTAACTTAAACATTAACAATAGTGTTGTTGTCTGTTGTATGTGAAGTTCAGTCACACAACATCAGCACATCAGACTCACATCCACTTGTCTCCGCCTTCTGTCTCACACTCTCACATGCTCACTAGATACTCAAAACTTGACTTCTCAGAACCTCCTTCACACTCTCCCTCCCACCTTTCCTTACAGCTTCATTGTTTCAGTAACAATAGTAATGAGTTTGTGTGTGTTTTAGATCAAGTTGGTGAACATCAACTCAACGGACCTGGTGGACGGGCGACCCTCCGTGGTGCTGGGGCTGATATGGACCATCATCCTGTACTTCCAGGTAGGAGCGTCGCCCAACTTCCGCCATGACTACCGCTGCGCTGCCTGTACCCAACACAAGCTGGGCTTTAAATCCTTTTTCCCCCAAAGCAAAGATTTAGCTATTATCAAGTGGAGAAGTGAAGAGGTTGTCCCCATGTAGTTGGTGGGGAGGGTTAGTGGGGGAGTAGGGGTGGTGAAGGGGAAGGTTGTGATGATGGGGGTTGTTTCGGGTCGTTGTAGTGTGTGTACTCACCCAGTTGTGGTTGCAAGGGTCGAGTCAGAGCTCCTGACCCCGCCTCTTCACTGGTCGCTACAAGGTCACCCTGCTCCATGAGCTTTATCATACCTCTTCTTAAAGCTATGTATGGATCCTGCCTCCACTACATCACTTCCCAGACTATTCCACTTCCTGAGAACTCTGTGACTGAAGAAATACTTCCTAACATCCCTGTGTGTCCGTGTGTGTGTGTGTGTCATTCACAAAAATCGCCACTTGCCTGTGATTGCTTCAATTTTGATCTCAGTGTTGTTTGTACAGCAGCTGTTGGTATAGCTCGTGTGGCACCGTGACGTCACTGCTACGCGTGGCACACATGAGTGTGCTACACTTGTTTGTTTTATACACAAATAACCCGCAAGCTTCTCTCTTTTATGTGCGGGTTATTTGTGTATCGTTCCAGTCACGGTATTGTGCCTTTTTGTTATTTATTGTTTGTTTTGTGTAAACTGGGACACTTCTTGAGTCATTGTTTTCTGACGGTGTAGCCTCATGTGTCTGTTATATCCCAGCATCAGCAGGACTCACGGGGAACTGACTTAATATCAGACGTACCCTACATTCCTTTATTTGTTTTTTTCGTCGTGTATTTTTGGGCGAGTATACATCCAATGGCGACTATACAGTACATCAGTCATGAGAATACAATAACTACCAAAATAATCACATACCAAATACATCGCCGTCCAGAAGTGTTATGTATCTCAGTGTACACAATGCTCAAATTTTACCTTAATATTGACTGATCAGGAACCTACTTGAGGAATTCATCAGTTCTTTCTTGAAGACAGCAGAGTCTGTTGTTAATTACTTTTATATATGAAAGGTGTGAGAAGTCTTGGTCCCCTTACACTTATTGCATTATCTCTGTGTGTATTAATAGCACTCCTGCTTTTCACTGGAGGTATTATATGTTGTACCGTCTCTCGCTATTGTAACGAGCGAATTTGGTGTGCTGGTTTGGGATTTATCCTTCCACAGTTTTCCAGTTGTAAATTATGATGTATCATTCCTACCTACGTTCCAGGGAGTATAGTTTAAGGTTCTCGGGTTATTTCTAATATTTTAGGTGCTTGACTGAATTTATATTTAAGGTGAAGGTTCTCTGTACATTCTCCAGATGTGCAGTTTCACTCACCTTAAAGTGGGCTGTTAGTGTACAGCAGTATTCCAGCGTAGAGAAAACAAGGGACTTAGAGAGTATCATCATTGGCTTGGCATTTCTTGCTTTGAAAGTTCTAGTTATCCATCCCATCACTTTCCTTGTGGCTGTGAAAATAACATTATCTTCTGCCTTGAATATGAGATCTGACATTATCACTCCTAGCCACTTCACAGTGCTCTTTTGCTCTGTTAAATAGTTTGAGTTTGTTTTATATTCTATTCTAGTTTATATTTCCTCAGTCTTTGTATGGCGGAATAGCTGTTATTTACCTTCGTTGAATATCATTGTTTTCAGTGGCACACTGGAAGACCTGGTTAATATCAGCTTGGAGATTTGCTGTGTCTACAATGGATGTGACTCTCATACAAATTCCGGCACCGTCTAGAATGGGTGATACTGGGCTGTGACTTATGTCTCTGTCTATTACGGAAAAGGCCACGGTGCACCGTGGCCTGGTGGCAAAAGTTCTCGCTTCACACGGTGAGGTCCGGGTTCGATTCCTGGCGAAGGGGTGGAAACATTGGTCGTGTTTCCTTACACCGGTTGTCTGTGTTCATCCATCAGTAAAATGGGTACCTGGGTGTTAGTGGACTGGTGTGGGTCGCATCCTGGGACAAAACTGACCTAATTTACCCGAAATGCTCAGCATAACAAGGGGCTTTCTATATAGTAGTATGTCATTAATGTCAGGTATGGCCTGTATACCTTGTACATGTACTTGTAGTACATGTACAAGTTAATGTAGTACATTAACTTAAAGACACACCATGCAGAATAAGCTTGTACTGGGTCTACGTTTCACCCACGGTATATGCGTTAAGCTTTGTGAGTCAGTACTGTTAAGCTTTAGTGAGTCAGTGTTAAGAGTTGTGAGTTATTATTAAGCTTTGTGAAGCAGTGTTGTTAAATTTTGTGAGTCAGTGTTGTTAATCTTTGTGAGTCAATGTTGTTAAGTTTCGTGAGTCATTGATGCTAAGCTTTGTGAGTCAGTGTTGTTAAATTTTGTGAGTCAGTATTGTTACTGAACTTAATAATAGTGTTCTCATTTTTGAAAGTTTTTGGGTGAAGGTTTACGAGGAACTTAGAGTGAGAGTATCAGACTCACAGCTACCATCACAGGACACTTCATCATCACTCCAGTGAAAATAAGAAACTCTGCCTGACTTCTTTGGTGTCTTCCTAGATAATTTACACTATGTATGATAATTGTCCTAATGTTTACCTGTACTTAAATAAAGTTAGTTACTGCCGGTGTGTCTGGGTTGGCAGCACACTCAGCTCACACACTGAATGTCCTTGGTTCAATCCCTGGCACGGGTGAAAACGTTGAGAATGTTTCCTTACACCTGCTGGTGTAAGTCGACCGGTGTGGGTCGCACCCTGAGGGGACAAGATTGAAGGACCACAGTGGAAATGAGACAGTCCTCGATGACCCACTGACTTCATCGTGTTAACCTGGGTGGCTAACACTCCCGGGTTAAAAATCCAAAGAAAATCTTATCTTATCTCATATCTATGTTCTCGTCATTTCTGAAGACAGTGCACTAATAACCTAGTCGGTCAACAATAAATATATAAATTGATGCCAGAGTTATAATGTTATCCAATACTAAAAACACTCAAAATATAACATTTGATTAACATCTATTAATTTTACATTTTCCTTTTATAAAGAGTGTTCCTTCCAGCATCACTCGTCACAGAACTAAGTCTCCAGTTCTGATACGTTGATTTAAGTGAGAGTTACTGAGACTGCACTCAGGTTTGAATTTGTTTGTCAACTAGGCTTATTATTACCAGTAGTTGCTCAGCGAGTAATGGCGACACCCAGGAGTAGTACTGTGTCAAGCACATTTTCGGTTGTGGTAATAACTCCGCCATCATTCAGCTCACTTTCAGTTAAGTTCAATACAATGCTTACGGCTTCACTGAATTTTTTAAGAACTCTTCTGGTAGTGTTTAGAAGTTCAAACCATCTTTGCTCCTGAATGGTATACAATACTGACAAGATGAAAATTAGACACATGTACATCTGGGTATCTTTATTGTTGACGTTTCGCCATCCAGTGACTTTATCAATACAGATTCTAGGATATAACTTAAAGACAGTAGAACTATTTACAAAAAAAAAAGAGATAATTAGTCCCTCAGTCTTGGAGTTGAAGATCATCGTCTATAATGCTCTTCAGCAACTCCAAGACCGACGTTTCGCCACTGCATGACGAAACGTCTACAATAAAGATATGCAGATGTTGCACATGTGTCTAATTTTCGATATTTGTTCCTCGTACTTATAACAATTTACCTGAATAAGACTCATCATAGTTATTACTTGACGTTTCCTAAGGGATGTGGGGAGGTAACTTCCTGTCTTGTTTACTGTTTACGGTGAAAAGCTCTGTTCCACAAGGCACAGTACTCGCTCCCATCTTGTTCCTCATCCTCATATCCGACATAGACAAGGATGTCAGCCACAGCACCGTGTCTTCCTTTGCAGATGACACCCGAATCTGCATGACAGTGTCTTCCATTGCAAACACTGCAAGGCTCCAGGCGGACATCAACCGAATCTTTCAGTGGGCTGCAGAAAACAATATGAAGTTCAACGATGAGAAATTTCAATTACTCAGATATGGTAAACACGAGGAAATTAAATCTTCATCAGAGTACAAAACAAATTCTGGCCACAAAATAGAGCGAAACACCAACGTCAAAGACCTGGGAGTGATCATGTCGGAGGATCTCACCTTCAAGGACCATAACATTGTATCAATCGTATCTGCTAGGAAAAATGACAGGATGGACAATGAGAACCTTCAAAAACTAGGGGGCCAACCCATGATGACACTCTTCAGGTCACTTGTTCTATCTAGGCTGGAATATTGCTGCACACTAACAGCACCTTTCAAGGCAGGTGAAATTGCTGACCTAGAAAATTACAGAGAACCTTCACGGCGCGCATAACGGAGATAAAACACCTCAATTACTGGGAGCGCTTGAGGTTCCTGAACCTGTTTCCCTGGAACGCAGGCGGGAGAGATACATGATTATATACACCTGGAAAATCCTAGAGGGACTAGTACCGAATTGCACACAGAAAATCACTCACTACGAAAGCAAAAGACTTGGCAGACGATGCAACATCCCCCCAATGGAAAAGCAGGGGTGTCACTAGCACGTTAAGAGACCATACAATAAGTGTCAGGGGCCCGAGACTGTTCAATTGCCTCCCAGCATACATAAGGGGGATTACCAACAGACCCCTGGCAGTCTTCAAGCTGGCACTGGACAAGCACCTAAAGTCAGTTCCTGATCAGCCGGGCTGTGGCTCGTACGTTGGTTTGCGTGCAGCCAGCAGTAACAGCCTGGTTGATCAGGCTCTGATCCACCAGGAGGCCTGTTCACAGACCGGGCCGCGGGGGCGTTGACCCCCGGAACTCTCTCCAGGTAAACTCCAGGTAAACTGGCTGCTGTGTCGCTGCTCAACTTTAAGACTCGCTGCTGGTGGCTTGAAAATATTGTATTACATGCAAAACAACCACAAGGGGAGTTGAATGATAGCTCTAGGCCTTTCGTG